CCCTGACTTTCCAGTTTTTAATCATCATCATCATCATTATTTGAGACACGGTCTTGCTAAGTTGTCCAGGCTGGCCTCGAAATTGGTGATCCTCCTGCCTTAGCCTCCCAAGTAGCTGGGGTTACAGGCGGTCATTGTGCCCAGCTCTTTTCTGGTTTTTAAAGGCCACCTGTGTTCCTTGGCTCATGGCCCCTTCCTCCGCCTTCAGAACCAGCCGCCCACACCTCCCCATCTCGCTCCCTCTCTCTGCCTCCTTTTTTTTACCACCACATCTCCTTTTCCTCCCGGACCCTCCTGGATGAACCCCTTGATGACACTGGACCCGCCCAAATCGTCCCAGATACCTCCCTTCTCCAGACCCGTCACTGGATCACGTCATAGGCAAAGTTCCTTTTATTTTAAGGTAACATAATCACAGATTCTGAGGATGAGGATGAGGACGTGGGCATTTTTAGAGCTTGTTATTCAGCTTACCACAAGTTGCATCTAGAAAATTCCAACAAGGATCTCTGAGGGGATTTGAAGAATCCCAATTCCAGCCCATACCTAAGGGCTCCCTGCTGTGCGGCGTCCACTGGCACCTGCTCAGCTCGCTCTGCTGCTGGACCACTGAGATCCAGATTCGAAGTCAGTGCAGCCCCCGGAGCCGAGCGCAGACTGGAAGCCACGCACCCCAAGACAACAGCCTAATTCACTCCGAGAGCTCCACACGTCGGAGGCAATTTGTGGGGTGGAGTCTGAGGGTAATCAACAAAGAGGATGGAAGGTAACTCTGGATTCAAGGCCACGGCCAAGCTCAGCTCCAGCAGCTGGGCGAATCCAGCTGTGCCCGGGTCGGCTATGCGACCATTAACTAAGACTGGCCACCTCTCTGGGACCCCAAAAAGCCAGAGAGTTCTTGGCATGAAGAAGAAAAAAAGAAGAGAAGGAGGAAGGGTGGGAGAGAAAGGAGGGGAGGAGGAGGGAGAGAAGGAAGAAGAGGAAGGGGGAGGGGAGGGAGAAGAACAGTGAAGGGAGCGGGAAAGGAAGGGGAGGAACCAAAATGAACAGGAGCTGGGAGCCGGGTGGCGCTCACCTGTAATCCCAGCAGTTTGGGAGGCTGGGTCAGCTGAGCAACCCAGTGAGACCCTGACTCTAAATAAAATACGGAACAGGGCTGGGGGTTCAATCCCCGGTACCAAAAAAAAAAAGAGAGAGAGAGAGAGAGAGAGAGAGAGCGAGCGAGCAGTAAACAGGATGGCATATTTGTCTCCCAGGACTTCCTGCCACACTGAGCCTCCTTGGACATGAGGAGTGATGGTCAAGGGAGCTCTCTAGACCAGCACAAGGGGCTGGGAGCCTGATCTCTTTAGGGTGGGAGAAACTCCACGAGGCCAACTCTGGAGAGGCAGTTGACATTCCGAAGAACAGAAAGCGTGGGCATGGTGTTGGGTGGTCAGGCAGGCGTTGGACTGGGGGTCAGGGCTGCTTTGGCAGGCAGAGATTCCCCATAAGAGGACTCATGGATGGCCACTTACTTTGTAAGATCCCAAATCTAGTGAGCATGTGCCAGACAGAATCATGCTGGACCGTCCTGCTTCCCACCCAGTTCAGACACCTGAGTCATAGGACAGAGTCCTTGCAGGAAGGGAGGCCAGAATCTGAGAAGAGCCTTGTCACGCACCATGAGAACATTGTCCCATCTGGAGGAACCTCGGGTAACTGACCCTGCAAAGGCGGCCACGTACCTAGGACTGGGGATCCTGGCCAAATTTGCATGAATTCCTGGCCCAGGAAGACTCAGTGCCTCTGCTGTCTGCTGGTCAGGGGGGGGACAGGAACAAATGAAAATGTCAACTACGGGAACCCTACCCTTCCCTGGCCACCATTGTTCAGGTTCTTGAGAGGGTGACTGGCACTGGTGTCCTTGAAGGCTGCAGAGTGTTCACAAACTCAGGACAGGGTCTGTTCTAGTGAGCTCGGCCAAGTGGAAGTCTTCGCGATTTATAACTCTACCGAAGTCTTATTTTTATTACTTCATATATACATATTGTTGTGGTATTGAGGGTGGAAATCAAGGCCTCACACATGCTAGGCAAGCACTCCACCACTGAGCTACACTCAGTCCTTTTACATATTTTATCTTATTTCATATTTTTGCAGTAATGGGGATCGAACCCAGGGACACTTTTCCACTGAGCTATATCCCCAACCCCTCTGGATTTTTAATTTTGAGACAGGGTTTTCCTAAGTTTTCCAGGCCAACCTCAAATTTGCAATCCTCCTGCCTCGGCCCCCTGAGCAGCTGGGATTGCAAGTGTGCCACCACAGCCTGGCATCCAAAATATTTAAATCAAATTCAACCCCAGTGCTTGAAGGACCTAGAAATGGCGGCGCCAAAGGGACAGGAGCAGAGATTCCCGTGACACTGATTCTCCCTCCAGCTTACCCAGTGCCCAGCAGCCATGAGTCTTGGAAGCCAAGATGGAGCTCATTCACCTTGTCAGGCTGAAATTCTGGAGTTGCCATTCCTAAGGTGTTCTTGTTAAGGAAGCAAATGAATACAGCCCCCAGCTCTTGGCATGTACCAATCTGCCTTCCTGATCATAAACAAAGATACCAGTTCTGGTTTCCTATGGCAAATAATAGTAGGAAATTTGATGGGATGATACCTAAGGTACCCTGGGCCAGCAGGATCCTGAAGAGCAGGTTCGGGAAGTCCGCAGACACCAAGACAGCAACGTGATGCCAAAGGCCGGGGGCACAAGCATCAGGCTTTGCAGACAGGATGGCCGCAGTCCTGCCTCTGCAGCCCTGAGATTCCACCCCTGGGTCGCCTCATTACCATCTGCCTCTGGGAAGTCCTGCTGCTGCCACTGAGAATCAGTTCTGAGATTCAGATCCAGTGTCCCATGTGGGAGCATCGGGTTAGCCAGCTTAGGCTGGTGCCAGGGGTCAGGATGCCAGGGCAGGGGGGGCAGAGGAAGGCGGGACCAGCCTCTCTCTCCTAGCTGGGGGGAGGAGAAGAGATGTGGTACAGTCCTCACTTGTGACACACCCACCTGCTCCAGTGGTCCCCTTTGATTGCAGGAGGCAATCTGACTTGCAAAAATAACTAGAGAATTAATGATGACCACGCTGACCAGTCCCGAGGGCCCAACTCAGATGTTCACACTCAGTGCTCAGTGCTCAGCACTCAGATTTTGCTGGACATTCTGCCCAACACACCAGCTTCAGCCAGGACTGGATGGCTAGAACACCTCCCAGGGTATTCCCAGTGACAACAGAAAATTGAGGCCCACTCTGCCCACAGAGGAGGATCCCCAGGCCAGGATCTGCATGGTTTCCTAGGTAACAGCTGAGGTTTGGCTGCAAGCTCAGTATTCTGGAAGGACATGGAGGCTTGGTGGCAAAGATATTTAGGGAAGAGGCATATGGATGGAGCTCTCAGAATGAGGCAGAGCTAGAAAACACCACTGCCCCCCTGTGCTTGCTGGAAGCTCCCCTATCAAGGGACTCTTAATAAGCAAGGGGGTAAGACGCCTGTGGCTGCAGGTCTCCCGCCTTCCCCGGCACACTAGGGGTTTCCAAATGGGCTCTGTCACCAGGCAACTGGGTCAAGCTGACTACTTGACATCTGGTGACTCTCAGCTTTGGAAGTGACCACCTTGGATATCACTGGAATGGCCTGAAGAGGACTGTTATGGTTTGGAGGTGAAGTGTCACCCCAAAGTTCCTGTTAACTCAGGAATATCAGAGTGAGATGGTTAGACGGTGGGAGCTGTACCGTCACCAGCCCGTCCTGGCTTGAATGACTGGCTGGCTGGTAACTGCGGGCAGGAGGGGTGGGGAGGAGGTGGTCACTGGGGGTTGTGCTTCCTCTGGCCTCGTCCTCTCCCTCTCTTCCTGACCCTGTCCTTAACAGAGCATCTTTCCCCTGCTGGGTCTTTCCACCACGGTGTTCTGCCTCACTCCAGCAATGAAGTCAGTCATCTGTGGACGGACCTCTGCAACCATGAGCCCCTAAGTTGTTCTCCCCTAAGTTGTTCTTCTCCCCTAAGTTGTTCTTTTCGGGAGTTTTGGTCACAGCAGTGCAAAAGCTGTGACCAAAACAGGGCCTCAGCCCCCTGTCAGCTGGGAGAAGACACTTCGAGAATGGGAGCTGTCTTGGGGATGCGCGGTGCTCTGAATCTGTTCCTGGATTTGGTACCTTTTCTCCCGTAGCCACAACTGATGAATCTGGGTGTCAAGGAGTTAAGACGTGGGCAGAAGCTCTGTGACTGCACACAATGAGCCACTCTCAGATATTTCATTTTCGCTACCTATAATTCTGAGATCTGCAGGACTAGATACCTCCCTCAGGGCCAGCAAAATGGTTTCTGAACTGACGATATCTGCTCTTCAGGCTACTTGATGGGAAATAACAATAAGGTCACTTATTGTTGCGTTTGCTAATCAATCTTGATCCTCAAGAGATTCATGTGGCTATACAGTAGTGTAGAAGGAGTATTTATAGGACTCCAGGGATCCCTTAAGATTCCTTCCTGTACTAGTTTAACAAGTAGTAAAAGTTCATAGAAAATTCCAGAATCTTACTAAGGCAAGGCCTTCAAGAGGCTCAGGCCCCCTGGGAATGAATTTGTCCGTGATTAAGAGGAATGCTCCGTGGAATGACCAGGGAAAGGATCCTTATCAGTGGTAGCAATGGCACGTGGCAGCTGTAGCCTCTACTGTTTCCTACACACACACACACACACACACACACACACACACGTACACACACACAAATATTAAGATAGGAGCTACTAGTCAGGTACATAGTGCATGTCTGTAATTCCAGGCTCAGGAGGCTGAGGCAGGAGGATGGCGAGTTCAAAGCCAGCCTCAGCAAAAGTGAGGCGCTCAGCAACTCAGTGAGACCCTGTCTCTAAATAAACACAAAATGGGACTGGGGATGTGGCCTAGTGGTTGAGTGCCCCTGAGCTCAATCCCTGCTGGCCTCCCCCCAAAAGATAGGAGGTCCTGGGGGAGCAAGAGACATGCTGAGTTCCTGTGCTCGTGACAAAATTTCAAGGTATAGAAGAGGGAACTGCCGTGGGTGCATCTAAACTGGAGAAGGGGCAAGTGTGTTTGCTGTTGCACTTGGGAGTGTGGGGCCCGTGGAGGGGAGGAGAGCCAACCTTGGTCACATGAGAGGGACGCTGATAGATGTCTGAGAGCCAAGCTTAACTGTGTATGGTCAAATGTGGGTGCTCCCTTCTTGATCCCCTGACCTGATTGGCCCAAGAGTAGTCACCTGACCCAAGCTATTCTGTTTCCCGAGAATTTGAAATCAAGACGTTTGGAGCAAAGCCATCCGATGCAGCCTCCAAGTGAAGCCAGAATTCGACAGGCAGCCAGGTCGATGGGCAAGTCGAGTCCTGTCAGGTCAAGGAGGCCAATTTTGAGTGAGTCTGGGAAGTTGGAGACTGTCCCCTGAGGGATCTTATCAAGAACCTACTCCCCCAACCTGTTGCCGAGGTCCCCTGTCCCAGGAATTGCCCCTCCCTACAGGGAGCTATAGGTTGTCAGTGTGTCTTTGGCGGCTCCCTCCTGCCCTTCCCCCTTCAGCCCACCTGTTGGCCATCCCACCGAGCATTTCCTGGGCCCAGTCATGTCTGCAGGAAGGAGAAAGATAAGGGGGACAAGCAGGAGAACAAGAGGGCAGAGCACCTCGCTTCTTGGGATACCAGGACACCAGCTGTGGCCCCTTCTCCCTCCTGCGAGAAGTCTATGTGACCCCTTTAAATAAACCTGCTTCATCGGCTCCCCCCGCGGCTGCTCCTCCAATGTCCACCCTTCACACTGGGAAGCAGGACTCACCAGTAACCGGCGGATCACAAGGGCTGACCACTAGTTTCTGGTGTGGGCCGCCCGGCTCCTGTCTTGTGTAGACCTCATTCTGTCTCCCTCCTCCGAGTCACCCCAGCTCCCTTTCAATAGATGCTCTTTTGGGTTTGGGTCAGTGGGGGGGGGGGCTCTACTTCTGTGGCTCGAGAAGCCTCCAGTGACCACTCAGTGAATCCCCATCAGGGGAGTGACTCTCTGGGTGAAGGCCCTCACCGCCAATCATTTCTCCTCTGACCCTTCCTGCAGTGTCTCGCGTGAGATTTGGGGGGACACCTCACAGCCGAACTAACACGAGCATCAGAGCATCGCGGTGGAGCTGAAGCGAGTTCCCAGTTATCACAGCGGAATGCCCACTCTCAGGGCTGGGGGAGGGGCTGGGGGACAGCGCTGACACAAGGCCCAGGTGAAATCTGTGAAGGAGTGACAGTCTTCTAAGGACTGACGGCCAGACACCAGGGCAGGTGAGGTGGGTGGCTGTGGCTGGCGGAGGAGGGTGTTTTCGTCAGCTTTTTTGCCGCCGTGACTAAAAGACGTGGCCAGAACAATGGTTGAGGAGGAAAAGGTTATTTGGGGCTCACAGTTTCAGAGGTCTCAGCCCACAGACAGCCGGCTGTCACATTCCACGCCACAAAAACACTCAGGGTCACTCCAGGGGAACTGGGCTGGATGAAATGATCTCACAAGAGACAGAGTTACCTTTTTCTTTGGGGTCCTGTGACGGTGACGGCTCCTCTGACCTTAGGGGTCTGCAGAAAGAGAGAAATCGAGAGAGAGAGAGAGCAGGTGCTGAACCCTTTTATGAGGAGAAGCCATTCACATGAGGCAAGGGGTCAGGTGTCAGGGGGCTGAGTCTAGCTTCTGATGTCTGCTGACAGCAGGTGACTAACATCTAGGGAGGCCACACCCAAAGGCAGAGCAAGATAAGGGGACACACAAAGGCGTTTCCATGGAACATTCTATGCCAAACAGGGCAAAGGGGTAGGATTCGAAGGAACAGGTGAGCTTAGCTCCACCCCATGGTGACACACCTACGTCTGAAGACACGCCTTCCTGGATGGGGACAACGTCCAGGTGCCTAGGAAAGGTAGGGACCGGTCAGAGCCTCTCGCTCCTGCATGGAAGGGGCGAATCATTCAGGGTGGCTCCCCACAGCCGGCTCCGTTCCTGGGGCGGGAGGTGAGGCTGAGCATTATGGGGAGAGTGTGGCAGAGGGAAGCAGAGACCCCACTCTCCAGATACAAATCTACACCCAAAGCCACGCCCCAGTGAACCCCCTCCTCCAGCCACACCCACCTTCCTCCAGTGACCACTCAGTTAATCCCCAACTCACTGATTGGGTTAAGGCTGTCACCCCCAATCCTTTCTCCTCTGTCCCTTCTCGCATTGTCTCACGTGAGCTTTTGGGGACACCTCACAGTTGAACCGTGACTTGCTAGGCACTGGATGCCCTTGGGAGTGACCAGATGTTTGCCACCCTCTGTCTCTGGCTCCTGCTCTGGGCTCGGGGATGGCCCTCACAGGCTTTCTGTGGAAACACAGATGCCCCAGGGGCAAGCCCACGGGAGACAGGAGTTTCCCTCCCTCCTTCCTGGGAGGAGGATGTCGAGGACAGTCCTTGCAGGCTCCCCACAAGGTCCTGGCAGGTTTAGTCACCCGGTGGGTGAGCAGATGGCTGTCTTCTCTTCCCTCCTTCTGTGCACGGCTCCTCCCTGTCCCTCGTCCTGCTCCCAGGACCAGTTCCTAAATAACCCCCTGTGCATGAGCCTTGGCTCCGGCTCTGCTTTGGGGGACCCCAGGCCACAACAGGCTACTTACTCTAAGCAGCCCGAAGTTTGGAGTCTTTTGTGCTGAGTGATGAGAAGCCACTGAAGACTTGGACGCAGGTGCTTTTAATCAAATCCACAGACTCAAGTGTGGAGGATGGGCAGGGCCTGGGGCACTGCCATAAGAAACGCCATTCTGGAAGCTGTTGCAGGGGTCTGGGTGAATCATGAGGACATCTCAGATGAGGACGTCTGCTGTCCAGTTTTCTCTGTCCCTCGACCTCTGACCCCCTTGCACACCTGCACGCAGCCCCCTCTGAACTGATCAACCTCGTGTGCTGCATGTCAATCCAGGCCCAGAGGCGGGATGGAGGGAGCACCTATGCTCAGCCTGAGTCAGACACGCCTGAGCCTCCTTCCCCAGGTGACCCAGCAGGGCCTGCAGGACAGTAGGAGCCAGTGAGCGAGGCCATGGAGGACCTGCTCCCTGAGGCCCTGGGAGAAGGCTCATGGGGAAGGGAAGCCTCTGGATGGAGGCTCAGACCCTGGGAAACAGATCCGGGATCCCGGCAGTGAAGAAAGACGTGAGTGCCGTTGGGATAGTAGATAGTCTTTATTCAGAGATGTCAGCAGCCCCCACTCTCCAGTTCCAGCTCCAGCATTTAGCCCATGACTCCTTCCATAGGTCTTTTTTTGGGGGGAGCACCAGGGATTGAACTCAGGGCACTCCACCACCCAGCCACACTCCCAGCCCTATTGTGTACTTTATTTAGAGACAACATCTCCCTGAGTCGCTTAGCGCCTCACCATGGCTGAGGCTGGCTTTGAACTCGAGATCCTCCTGCCTCAGCCTCCCCAGCCGCTGGGATTACAGGCGTGGGCCACTGTGCCGGCTTCCATAGGCTTTTTTTATGTGCAGGGCAAACAGAGAAGGCACACGGGCTACGGGTTACATAAGTGAGCGCATGCTCGCAAGCATGGTTGCAGACTAAAAATAACTTGCTGGAAGCCACAGCAAGGGAGTCTTGACTATCGCCATTTGGGGCCTGCGACAGGAAGTCAGGCACACAGAGCCCAGGTGAGCCAAGGAGTCCACCCACAAAGGTTCAGCACATTAGGGTGCGGGCCCAGGCCGACCTGACGGCCAACTTGAGTTATAATTGCTACGATTTCCCTGGAGTAAACGTGGCTGTCTCCCCTGCACAGTTTCCTGGCACACTGTAGATAAACCATTAGAGCGGTTTGTAGGATTTACTATCTGATTCCATCAGTGCTGGGAATGTGCCTGATGTCTTTGACCTTGGCTTGAGATAAAACCAGGTTCGTTCTGGCTTGAATGAAGCCACTCGCATCCTGACCACTATATACATAAGCCCCTTCCCTCTGACCCAGGTGGTGGGGATCCACGGGTCTTTCTGCTACCCTTGACCACACTTCTGTCCAGAAAACCCCCCAAAAGATTACCCTCTGTAATCCCGGATCTTCTGACTCTTCCTTTGGCCAGGGCCCCTTTGACCTATGGCCATCAGTTCTTTTACATCAATTTTCCTGCATCAATCATATAATATTTATTGAACCACAGAAGACAGAACACGAACTAGAAAGAGCTGGATGGATCTGGGATGTCCTCTTGTCCAGCACCTCCTTCCCAAAGTCATGAGGAAACGGAGGCTCAGGGAGGCTGTCTCTTGACCCCAAGCTGGCTGATCGCGAGACACTACAGGATTCCTTAACCCACTCCTCGAATCTGGTCTCACTCACCCCCGCCCCGACCCCCAGATCAACCATATGACAATACTGCGTCTGGAGGTTCCTTGGGTGTTCCCTGGTCCCTCAGTGCACCCTGGCCCTAGTGAAGCCTGGCCACCTGCACTTCACCCACTCTGCTGTCAGCACCACCACCACCATCACCACCATCACTACTGTCACTATCAAGAAGTCCCTGCCTGCTGGGTGTGGTGGCACATGCCTGTCATCCCAGCGGCTCAGGAGGCTGAGGCAGGTGGATCGCAAGTTCAAAGCCAGTCTCAGCAATGGCAAGGCCCTAAGCCACTCAGTGAGACCCTGTGTCTAAATAAAATACAAAATAGGGCTGGGATGTGGCTCTGGGGTCGAGGGCCCCTGAGTTCAATCCCCAGTACACGCCTCCACCAAAAAAAAAAGAAAAGTCCCTGCCTTCGTGAGATAAACCAAGGGTGAACAGATCCTGGAAAGACGAGGCCAGAGTCCACCAGGGAAAGCCTGTTGCTGGATGTGGGGCTCTGGGAGGGGCAGTGTTGGAGCAGCTGTCCCTCCCCCGCTGCGGCCAACTGGCTTTCCTGGTGTCTCCCTGCCTGTTGCTGCCCACCTCCTCTCTGTTCACAGCCCCCGCACTTATTCTTTCTCTTTTGAGATGGAATCTCACCCTGCTGCCCAGGCTGGCCTCGTCCTCCTGGCTCAAGCCATCCTCCCACCTCAGCCTCC